TAGATGTATTGACAATAAGATTATTGTCAATAAAAGCAATCGTGTTGGGTCCACTTCACACTTAATCTCATATCGATCTTCGGTTCGTTTTTTTTAGCGGACTACACTCGGCAAAACTATTAAATTGTAAAACATTCGGCTTTTTTCCATGTTTATACCGAAATCAATTTACTTTGTTCTGCTATTTTCTTTACTGATCTATTCTGTAAACTTAAATTATCTTCTATGGTCAATTATTTTGTTAATATAAGTTACTGGTTCGTCGGTAAACATATCTTTTTTACTGTATGGTCACCATTTCATTGCCGAAAAATTGTTCAAATTAACTGAACAAACTGTAATTTGTGATCTCACGTGGAACATCTGTCAAAAACATCAAAATCGCACCAGTTTGTGAATAAAATTTTGTATTACGAAGTAAAAAGTCTATTTTCCTCCTTATTAGCTACACAGATAAAAATTCTGAATTTTAATTGTGATGTAAACATTCATTCACGTAGACTTGTATTTCATTCCACGCAACCGAGCAACATGCAAACAATGTTGTTTACAAAGATGGGCCTTTGTATGCATTATTAGCTACATTGCATGAAATGTGTCAGAACTTTCCATGATATATAATGTAAACGTATATGATATGTGACGCTCCATTTATGTGCATCATATTGATCAGAAATTTACACTATTTTTTCAAACTGTGTAGAGAATAGTCTTAAAAGATGGTAGGTACATAGTTCCGTTAGAGTACGGCAGTATGAAAATTGAACAGAAGTTGAAAATGAGTCAAACGCACACTTCTTTGCCTAACCCGTACGATGTACGCGGAGAATTGAAGTATGTCTTCAAATCTAGAGGCAAAAAAATGTGCGGCCGCCTTTGCTCATATACTGTCTGCGGCTGTGGAATAGTTCTAGCGACATTTCATCACTACCTAAAGCCTGGTAGCAATCGTTTCGGTAATATTTGACAGCTCACGAGAGTCCCTTAACTACCGAGTACTCTGCACCTGGTATAATTAGCGAAACGATCGCCAAGTGCTCAGATGTTCTTATCTCATCAAAAAATAAACCAAGTTTGGTGAAAAAAAAGTTAATATGCTTGGTTAAAAATCTAAAACCTTTATATAATAACTATATAGGAAATGAGCAATTTTGGAGATTTTGAAAAATGTTTTTTTAGACGAACCACGGAGTAATAACATGTTACAGGCTATCTTGATAAGGTGTTTCTTGTCGATAATTATTATATACAAGGGTGTTATGTTATAACTCTGTAGTCTGAATGGTACATAATATAATATAAGGTACAAAAATGGATTAAATCCAGACATGTTTTTTATTATAGTTATTTAGAGATCCAAAATATTTATTCACACCTGAGATTCAATATTTTAGCTAAGCCATATTATAATTTTTACGCTATTTTTGCGAGCGTTTTATCCGCTCTCGGTAGTTTTCTTCACCTTCACAATTATTAGTTGTGGGCTTTCTATGCTAACCAATGCATGAAATTGTAAATTGTTTGTCTAGCACAATGATCCGTAATGATTCTCTATGAGCAAGGAAACCGAGAAAATTCCCCACCCGAAAGATTACCTCGACCGGACAAGGGAGTCAAACCCGCCACCTCCGTCTTGGTAATATCGTGCCTTTACTCACTGTGCTAACTGAAACCGAAATCTCCAAAATGTTCAAATATGTAACTCCTGAATTTTTAGTTATTGTTATTGCGCATTTTGCACCAAATTAGACTCCTGTGCAAAAAATAATTGCGCAGTAATATTTTCGCACATGCCAGAAAATGTAAAAATAGACATATTTGAAAGCAGTAACAGCTTAAGAACATTACTAGCAAGCTACACTGTTGAATTAAAGCTCTAGAAAGCATTAAGAAGCTCCATATTTAACTGTTATGACCAGTGCGAAAATATTACTGTGTACTTATTTTTAGCGCAGGAGTCTAATCAGGTGTGAAATCCGCAATATCAGTCGTTAAAATTATCTGTAATGATCCACCGAACTCCCTTTGGGACTGTCCTGAGAGTAACAGAACAGAAACATTATTTTTATATTCTTGAACTTACAAAAAAATTTGGGATTCCGCAAAATTTTTATGATACTGAATTTGGGAAGCATTTGCTTTCCTCCTCTGACACTCTCTGTTAACACCCATAGATTAAATAACTGAGGAATGCGAGGGGGGCGACTCTATCTACGATACAGGAAAAAATGTGTTTTGCTGTGGTTAGCTGCACAGCGTGATAGAAAGAAGATTGATAACGATTCTGAAGATTTCCTGCAAAAATATGATGCGCGATGCAAGTAGATGCGAGGAATTAATGAAGATTTTTCGAAGATTGATTCATCGCTGTAACATTCCGGAACCTGTGGAAAGTCAGTACCAGCTGTAACTTGCTAACTCAGGGATAAAGGGTCGTTAATTGACTTCTTCCATTCACACACATTCAAGAACTTTCACACACATACACGAACAATAGTTGACTAAACAGGAACATTTGGAAAAGAGACGCGACTTCACAATGGTCGTGTTGAAAATGAGTATCAAATGATCTCTTCAACGAGCTTAAAATCGTCAAAGAAGAAAGTTTCAACTAAATCACAAGAATGGCGAAGTCAGATAGTATTCTTTGAGAACTTCCACAGTTGTTAATTACGACCTTTCTAGGCATGTACCAGCTTTGCATTAGCATTACCCAACTAACAATTTTCACAATATAAACGCTTTACTCATTTCATTTATAAATCCTCAAGCTGCATTCAAACGTTATACGATATCAGGCAACCTTTACTCAACCTCTATACAAGCAAATCTGGCGAACTTAGTCAGCTACTTATGGCTGTTGGAACGGTCGGGAGAAGCTCTTATTGCATATCCATTAACGCTTCTATACAGCTGTTATCCTGCTGTTTAGTTGTGTGTGAACTTGAAAGGCGCTTATTCAACCTCTTTCCGGTTGTACAATAATCACTACACAGCTTTCTCTTGAAGCCGGTTTAAATACTGTTTACGCTTTTTTATGAAGGAATTTATTGAGTTTAATTTGCTGTGAATCAAATTAATCGGAATTAGTTACAAATCATCACCAAATTATTTACCCTGCACCGGAACCTGGAATCGAACTCGAGACGACCTCATTGGCAAACCTTGACAATTCCAACTGTGCTACGCCAACACTTTGAACTTATGTAAACAAATCAACATTCCCTTCTACAACAAACAACAAACAACTACAAGTTAAAGGTATTCTTATTCTTAAGCTCCCTATAAAACGAATATCTTGAGCATTTTTAGTATTATGAATAATTACACCAACACATATAAATAATAAAGCCTTAAATAAAGCATGAGTTAATAAATGAAAAAAAGTTTATTTATAAAATCAAATTGATAAAATTCTTATCATAAGGCCTAATTAACTTAATGTTGATAAAGCAATATTTTTTTTAAGTCGAATTCAAAATTAGCCCCTAATCCTGCTATAAATATAGTTAACCCAGGAAATAAAAATAATAATTGATCAAAAAAGAATTTTCTAATAAAATATTAAACCGAATTAATAAATAAACCCCTGCTGTTACTAAAGTTTAAGAATGAACCAAAGCAGAAACAGGAGTAGAAGCAGCTATTGCCGCAAGTAAGAAGAAAATGGAATTTGAGCTTTTTTAGTTATAGCTGCTAATATAACTAATCCTCCAATAGAGATGAAAAAATCTCTTAAATAAAGAAAAAAATAACTAATCCTCCAATAATTATTATAATTGATACGTACCGATATTTAACAATTATAATTTTACTGATACCTCTTTTACGCTGCTGAAATTTGGTATTTTATTCCTCCTTTTGTCGACAAATCAGTAATTCTGAACAACAGTCAATTTTACAATTGCTGAAATCCCGGCAAACTTATTTTTTTGCGGAGTTGGTTGCTGAGCACTCGGCGGTACGAGCAGTTTGAAATGACGTTTCCTACCACTCGAACTTCGCCGTGAAACAATATTTTGAAAACAAATATCTTCTAGCACCTCAGAAAAATACTGTGGTCTCAAAACTGCAAAATAAAACTTAATGTGTACCATAAGCGCCAATTGTGGTAGAGCACTGGCTAGACAATGCTTATGAGTAACCATCCCTGAAAGAATCGGAAGTTCGGGTAATCTACAGAGGACTTTCTCCATGTTAAGGGCTGCTCGAAAGCGTCTGTTCCCTATGTTAGCGGCGGCTAATTATCGTCCCCGTGGTCCTCTGATGAGACAGGCCCATGAAAAAAGACTCGATGCAAATTACACAGAAGCAATTACGTATCGATGAAATAGGCAAAGATCTAGGCGATGAAAAAAGGACTACGATTGGTAATTCGGAACATGGAACTGCAAGTCGCTTTCCTTCGGGGAAGTGATACGACGAGATTCAACCCCACAACTTCGTAGTCGTAGCGCTGCACGAACTTTTCTAGACGGGACAGAAAGAATGGAAGCCAATGACTCCACACAATCACAAAAATAAAACAATAGATTATATGCCGTAATCAAAAAGCCGTAGACACATATTTCTTCAGCTATGCCATTACTTATACCGATAATTGAAACTAATTTGTTTGATGCTATCACGACTCACCCATTTGTGAACGATCGCATCTTGTATCCTACACTCAAAAAATAAATCACATTTCCGATGGAAAATATCCATTAGAATTTCACATAACTTTCATGTGATCTCATAATTGGGAATCGCACTACAAAATCACATGAACTTTATGTGTGCAATGAAATTTATGTGATTTATCACATAGAATTCATGTGATCATATGAATGTTATGTGAATTTCAGATAAAAATCATTAGTTTTGTTATTGGAAAAATATCATGTGCGTTCCCAATGGTAACTATATGCAAACTTTTTTCGGTGTACCTATCCTTCCAAACGAACTGTTAATGATTGTCAATTCTTTTCTTTATTCGTTTCATTTTCTCTTGCCCACAGCGTTCCGAGGAGCGTTCTGTCCAATTGGCCGTACGAGTGCATAAAACGCTGGAGCTGGCCGATGACAAATTTTACGTTATCACTTGTGGTAAAACTGGATTCGCAAGGTAAGGCATCAAAGCTTCATTGGGGCTCATCTGACTGTAGGTTGCAATATAGTACAACTATTAATGGCTTTTCCTCTCACTTTAATACAACTGCACCGTCTCAAACACAATAATCATTCACTTTAATTAAGGCATTGTTGTAGAAGGTTTTTGTTATATACTCCATACTATTATAAAATTAATAACCCAAGAGAAGTACAAGAAATTTCTTTCATGTAAAAATCAAATATTCGGCTTTCCTCATTTACTTTGTTTTTTGTTTTTTTTTTGGCAAGGGCGCACAGTCACGGTGACAGGGTGTGTGGGATTCTTACCGCACTAAAACCTCCTTGGATGCCTTGCCCTTTTCCCCCGGAACCACTTGTCGTATTACTTCGGAGGGGCCGTCCATTACGCACCTCACTTTACCTCAGCTAATTGGCGCTTCCAGTTCGCTGATCGTCTCTCAGATTTGTGAGCCATTTAGCTTCCAGCGTCACGTTCTACTCGGTTATCCCCGGTGGTGGATTCAGCCTACTCTGACGGAGAGTTCTCCCTGCTTCGGCTTTCAGTTCGCACTTGTGTGAGCACATTACTACTTTCTAGTTGGTCTTCTCGCCATTTTCGCTGCAGCGCTGACATGATCTGAGTTACTGCTCTGCTGACGGCGTTAAAGGTGCCCTCCTCTCGACACATTTCTTCGACGACATTCTCCGTGCTAAGGGCGAGCATATCCTCTCGCACATCATCAAATCTAGGACATTCGAAGACCACGTGCTCTGGTGATTCTTCCACATTCCCACACTCCGGACAGAAGGGTGACGTTGTGTGTCCGAACCGATGCAGGTACTTCCTGAAGCAGCCATGACCAGACAGGAGCTGCGTCAAGTGGAAGTTTACTTCTCCATGCTTCCTGATCACCCAGGTCGAAAGAGTCGGTATTAGCCTGTGTGTCCATTTACCTTTCTCTACTGCATCCCACTCCTGCTGCCACTTAGCCATCGACTCCGTTCTTACCATTTTTCGTACTCCTCTGGTTTCTCTCGTCATATGGCACTCGTAGTCCTCCGCCAAGGTGATGCCGATTGGTATCATACCGGCGATAATGCATACTGCCTCCATCGAAATGGTTATGTACGCATTCAAACTCGCATGGCCATGAGCCGTAACGTACTGCTCAATTTCCTTTGATTCTGCTTCGTTTTCAGCGCTTCAATCCAGGCTGGACCTCCGTACCTTAGTATCGATGAGGACACACTAACCAGAAGACGCCTCTTGCTGCTGCTTGGACCAGAATTGGGCGGCATGATTCTGGCTATTGCGTTCTGGCCTCTGCCTGGATCCCCTCGGGACCACTGTGAAGCGACTACTTAGGGGGGTGGCTGTGCTCATGCACTTGTCGTACTCTTAAGGGCCACCCACATTAGATCCGTTTGCGTTGCGTTGACGTAAATTTGACAGTTAGACAATGGATTCAGCTGTCACTTTGCCGCAACGCGTCCGATCCGGATCTAATGTGCGTGGGCCTTTAGCGCTAGCTGGCGTTGCTAGATCGCTGCTATTCTCTCCATTTACGCTTTAGCTCCGACATAATCTGCGTGACTGCCCTGCTGACGGCATTCCAAGTGCCCTTCTCTCGACATATTTCAACGACAACATTCTCCACGTTAAGCACGGGCATCTCCCTTCGCACTTCTTCGAACCTTGGACAGCCGAAGACCACACGCTCCGGCGTTTCTTCGACGTTGCCACACTCCGGACAGAGAGGTGGCGCTGCGTGTCCAAACCGATGCAGGTATTTCCTGAAGCAGCCGTGACCAGAAAGGGACTGCGTTAGGTGGAAGTTGACTTCTCGGTATTTTCTGTTCACCCAGGTCGAAAGAATCGGTATTAGTCTATGTGTCCATCTACCGTTCTCCGTAGTGTTCCACTCCTGTTGCCACTTAGCCAATGATTCCACTCTCACAACTTTCCGTACTCTTCCGGCTTCTCTCCGCATGTAGCACTCGCTGTCCTCCACCAGGGTTGTGCCGATAGGGATCATACCGGCAATAACGCATACTGCTTACGACGAGATGGTTCTGTACACACTCACGACTCGCATGGCCATGAGCCGGAACGTGCTGCTCAATTTCTTTTTGTTCTGCTTCGTTTCCAGCGCTGGAACCCAGGCTGGACTTCCATATCTCAGTATCAATGACAACACACTGGCCAGAAGACGCCTCTTGTTACTGCTGGGGCCAGTGTTGTTCGGCATGATTCTAGCTATCTCGTTGATGACCTTCGAAGTCTTTTCACAGGCAATTCAACGTGGCTGTTGAAGTTTAGCCGGTCATCGATCATCACTCCCAGGTATTTTAGCACACGCTTCGAGGCTATGGCGTGCTTCCCAACGGTGATTTCTGCCCGCTGTACCGCTTTACAGTTACTGACCAATAGCACTTCCGTTTTGTGGTGGGCTATCTGCAGCTTCGCTCCTTGCATCCAGTTACCAATCATTTCGATCACCTCGGTTGACAACACTTCCACCTCTTCCAGCGTCTCGCCTGTTACCGTCAAGACGACGTCGTTCGCAAATCCAATGACCTCAACATCTTTGGGCAGCTTCAGCGTTAGCACACCGTTGTACATCCCGTTCCAGAGCGTTGGACCAAGGATGGAGCCTTGTGGAACTCCCGCTGTGATCCTTATCGATCTCTGTCCCATGTCTGTCTCGTAGACTAGAACCCGGTTCTGGAAATAGCTTTTCAGGATCCTGCACAGGTAGTCAGGGACTCTCATTCTATGCAGCGCCTCGGCGATGGCCTCCAAGCTGGTGCTGTTGAAGGCATTCTTGACGTCGATCGTTATCACGGCGCAATATCGATCTCCTCTCCGCTTCAGCTTGGACACATTCTCACCTCTCTCGACCACTGTCCGAATTGCATCCACCGTTGATCTCCCTTTCCAGAATCCGAACTGCATCTCCGACAATCGGTGCTCACTCTCCGTGTATTTCGTTAGCCTGTTTAGGATGATCCTCTCCAAGATTTTTCCGAGTGTATCCAGCAGGCATATAGGCCTATACGATGCTGGATCCCCCGGTGGTTTTCCTGGTTTCGGTAGCAACACTAGCTTCTGCATCTTCTACCTATCAGGAAAATGACCCTTGTCCAGGCATTTCTGCTGCACCATCCTGAACATGTCCGGGGACGCCTGGATCGCCACTTTTAACTCTACGTTCAGGATTCCATCCGGACCAGGAGCTTTCTTCACCTTCAATCCTCTCGCCACTGCTACAAGTTCCTCGTTGGTGAATTCGACGTTATCTCCCTCTCCTTCTCCGTACGGTGTAGTCAAGTTGTTGGGTCGTGCTTCGGGAAAAGTCCTTCCACGATGACTTTCAGCTTCTCTGGACCCATTTCAGCGGGCATCGTTCCTCTCTGTCTGCTTCTGTTCTTGCTCTCTGAACACGTCTTCTGGCTCTGAGACAACTAGCGCGGAGGGTGCTAAGTGCCTCGTTCCACCAGTAAAGTTGACGCCGTCTGTTATTTGGCTCCAGTTTCCTCGGCATGGTCGTGTCACAAGCTCTCACTAACGTTTCTGTCAGCTCGTCCACGTTCAGAACCACGGGGTTCCTGTCCACACGAAGTGCCTCAACGAAAAGATCCTTGTCGTTAGCCTTCGTCTTCCACTTCTGGTCACAAGTTCTCGTCCTCCGTACTGCCACAGTATTCCGTTGGCCGATGCCATATCGGATCGCCTGATGGTCGCTATGAGTGTGTGCTTCGCACACTCTCCAATCCATGTTTGCCGGCCATCTTTGCGAAAATTGCTGCTGGTGCCTTCGTTAGTCTGCATAACTTCCAGTTTTGCCAGAGCTTCCAGCAGACTGTGCCCTCTTGCATTGGAACATCTGCTTGGCCACTCAACTGCCCAAACATTGAAGTCTCCTCCGATGACTACCCGTCGTCGTCCAATCAGCTCTTCGGTAAACCCATGCAGCATCTCGTGGAACTGCTCCATCGTCCATCTGGGGGGTACATAACAACTACATATGAATATTCCGTTAATTTTGGCGATCACGAAACATTCGTATGAGCTCGCAACCACTTCTTGAATAGGGTATCTGCTCATAACTTGTAGAGCCGCCATCTCAGCTCTATCCGCCACCCAGTTACCGCTATCTGGACAGACTCGATACGGTTCCTCAATGACTGCAACGTCGCACTTTGCTTCTGTTGTCTACTGTCACAACAGTTGCTGTGTAGTGTCGCAATGATTGAGGTTTATTTGGCTTACCATTTCGATCAAACAAATCGTTCTCGAGGTAGCTATTTTTAATTATTGCATAAGCCCTTTTAAAAAGTTATTCGCGTACAATACTAAAGGCTGGCGCACAATGCATACGTTTTCGGGTTTTTGACAGATAATGCATGGGCTAACTGTCAAAAAACCTGAAAACGTATCTATTGTGCGCCGGCCTTAATCAAGCAAATGTGTAAAGTGGCATTTTGGGCAATAACAAACAACTGTGCAAAATTTCATCTTAGGCTCAAGGTGACTACATATAGGTGTTCTAATGTGTCAAATTCATGATTCAGCCATGTTGGATTTTTGTATGGGACAGCGACCGAGTTTGTTTACAATTTGCACTAAAACCGCACTTTCCCCCCCCCCCCCCCGCGACCTCCTCGCTTATATAGTGACAAAGCTGTATCACCATTTATATACCCACCATGCTTAGGCTCTGAACTATTTGGTAGATTATTTTAACTTTTGGTTAAAATTTGACAGAAATTATCGATTAACTCTGCTATCAGAGCTTGGTTACTTCTGAAAGATAAGAAGTTAAATTTCGACAACCTTGGCTAAGTTCTTCTCGAAAATCGGTCGATCGACAGCACAGGGATTTACGAACATAGAAAATAACTTTCGAAATATTACTTTTAACCACGAGTTAAATTTTACTCGGCAAATAGTTCACAGCCTTAATCGGTAACAATCGATAAAAAAATCGTTATTTGAAATGGAACCGCTCAACTGCAAGCTGCTTGTTTCAATGAACACCTATGTAGAGAATAATTTGCAACTTTCTTCAATTGCTTATAAAACTTGTCTATAGGAAAAGACTATTGTTCTTCTTCTTTCTAAAATCCTCCTTGGTAAGGCAATATCTCGAATCAGCTGATAAACCTTGCTCGAACAATACATATATCACTAGCTGTTTCTACCTACTCGAAGTCGCTCATATTTGACTGAATGAACACCAGTAAAAGTAGCTCGGATCTGTTGAATGAACGCCAAAAACGAGCTTGCAAGTTGTTGCAATCTGTTTCGATCTTGAACAAAGCTATAGCATATATGGTTATTTATAAGTACCTAAACCCACGGATAAACGATTAATCATATACCTTCCTTTCGATTCTCAGGGACGACAACTCTCCTGTGGCGCTCAAATTCTTCGAGAATGACCGTCGAGTACAAGAAACTGTGTATGGTCGTAGATATACCGTTAAGGCGGAGGTAACCCACCCGAATGGAACTCATGGAATCCGAGTGAGGAATTGTTTCGCTTTTAACAAGAAAAACAAAACCATCGTATTAATCGATGATCGAGGGTAAATCAAAATTGCATGGAGTGTTAAAAGCGTTATCATTATTAGTTATTATTCTTTATTAATTCAGATGTCCTGTTATGAACAGCGGAACATACATCATGACTCGCTTCCGAACTGCTGCCAATGGAACAACGGCTATTGCCACATTGAACTCTATGTTCCGCTTCCCTGATGGTATGAAGACATTCTAGTGAAGCTACGTAGATCACTATATAAGAATCAAATTCTTTCTTTTCAGGCTCGGAAGTTCACTTCCAGTGTGATGTGGACCAGTGCAATGGTCTTTGCCCTGATATAGATGATAGCATGTGTTCACAAGATCCGAGCGCTTATATCAAGTCTGGTCGAGCGTTAGGACAAACTGACGAAGGAATGCTATTAGCAGCCACTACAGTCTTTGTGCTGGATCCAATTGATGCTAAACGTTAGTATTATACATACTTGATTGATGCTTGAAGAGCTTTAGACTGTTGGTTCTTATCTTTTGCTGGTCAAACGCCTTCGAGGCTTGACCTGCTTTACGCTACCTACTGAGTTCGAAGCTGCTTGAGAGTCCCACACTTTTTAGATCTTGCTTCACTTGGCGTAACCACCTTTTTGGTCAAAATGTACCTACACCATGTTTGCGGGATTTTATTCCGGCAGTACGCACGACTTCCGGTAATAAAACGTTTCTGAATATCTCTGCCGACGTCACCCGAGGTATAAAAATTCATCCACCACCTCAAATTCGTCTCCGTTTATTATTAGATTTCTGCCTATACGAGCTCTATCGCGCTCGGTAGCTTCAGTCTACCGATATTTTATCTTCAATGTTTTCACAATCCTATTTATTCTGCTTCTATTTCAACACCTTCCTTATTGATTACCGATACTTCTCCAGCTACCACACCTGCTTGCTTAAACTTAAAAAAAATTCAGATATTCGGAACTAGCCCTGATGAAGATCCCAACCACTGGATCGAACGTTGACTGTAAAACTTTTTCTTGGAAGCTGAAAGCCAAAAAAATACTAATCCATCTTTAAACTTCCCCGAAAGGCTAGAGTTTTCTGTACTTTTTAGAGCTTCCCTGAAGTAATTGGAACTGCCCTAAAGATCTCTGATCTTCAATAATGTTCTCTGGACCTGAATTCATCAGAGGTTTTTAAAAGCTGACGCAAATTTTCTGAAGATAATTTAATTGCGCTGATGTTCTTTGATCTATCCTAAAGCTCCCACAATTTTTCTGATGTTTTCGATACTTAATTTAAGCTCATGAAACTTCCATTAAAATCAAAAAACCTCCCTGAAGTTTTTATTAAATTTTCAAGAAGTTCTCGAATTTTCTCTTAAGTTTCCTAATGTTTCAAGTAGTTCTCGGAACTTCTCTAGCTAGGAACTTGCTTGAAGACCCCACATTTTCAGAACATTCCTGCAATTCTCGGAATATTCCATAATTCTTCGGAACTTCTTGAAAGTTCCTGCAATTAATTAATGGAACTACTCTGAAGATCTCTGATCTTCCTCGAAATACATTGAACATCTCTGAAAATAATGAAACTGTTTAAAAATCTCTAAACTTCTATGTAGTTATCTAATCTTCTGTGAAGATATTGATTAAGTTTTCTTAAACTCCGTGACTTTCTTGAAACTTCTGTAAAGTTCCGGTTATTTCCTTGCGGTTCATTAAACTGCCTAGAGGTTTTCAAAGCCATCCTGAAGTTCTTGCAATTCTCCTGAAGTTCTTGGTACTGCTCTGAAAGAAATGGAACTGTCCTTTTTTTTTCCTTTGGTTTGTTTTTTCCGTCCATCTTGTTTTCCGTGCTGAGCACCAATGCTACCGACGTGTAAATGGAACTGTCCAAAAAATCTTTAAACTTCCCTGAAAATCTCAGACCTTCTTTAGAATTCACAAAACATGCCTAGAGTTTTCTAAAATGTTCGGAACTTCCCTGAAATTCCTTGAACTTCTTAAAGTATCTTAAAATGTTGTCCCGGATTCATCAAAACAAACGTTCAAGGTTTTTAAACTTGCCCGAAAGTCTAGACGTCCCTGAAGCTATCGTGACAGCCTTAAGATCTCTGAGCTACCCTGATAATCTCTAGACCTATATTTCTTGAGGTTCTTGGGACTTTTCTAAAGTTTCCACAATTTCCCTCAAGTTTTCTGAACTCCTTTGAAGTTTTCTCGACATTCCTGAAGCTCTCTACATATACCTGAAGTTCCGATAACTTCTTGAAAGTCCCTGCAGTTTCCCTGAAGCAGATGGAACAACCCTAAAGTTCTCGAAGCCTATCAGATGCGCTCGAAATTTTACAGAAGTTTCCTTACTATCCCGTAGTCTGTTCATGAAACTTCTTCAAAATCCTCGGTTTTTACTTTCATTCCTCAAAACTTCTTCAAAGTTCTTACAATTTGTGCAGACCGTCCTGAAGTTCTCTTGTCATTCTCACTATTAACTTTTCTGATAATGTTGCTAGAATTGCTCTAAAATTCATAAAACTGCTCTAAAGACCTCTTAAACATTTTTTTTTTGTTTTTCTGTGAAGTTTCCAACAATTTTCTTGTTCTCTAAACTTTCTGATGTTCCTTAGACTGTCATGTTTTTTTGAAACCCCTTGAAGGTTCTCGCTATTTTCCTGAATTTAATGGAACAGCCTTAAAGTGCTCAGAATTCACCTGAAGTTACCATGATTTTCCTGATAATCATGGAACTGTCCTGAACTGCCCAAAGTTACGTAACATCCCTTAAGATATTAAAACTCAACTGAAGTTTTCGCAACGGAAGCAATTTTCCTTAATTTAATAGAACTGCTCTACCAAAGCAAGCTGAACAACAGATATTCCAATGTTTGTATGTTCTGATAAGGCCCGTATATAGTCAATAAGGCGAAACAACGTGACAATTGGTACTTGGGTAAAGCTCTCAGTCTTTACTGAAGTTCTCGAAACTTTCCAGAAATCTATGGAACCTACCCTAAAGATCTTAAAACTTCCATGTTGTTCTGAACGTTCACGATGTTCTTGATGTTTTCGGAATTTCCATAAAATTCTCAGATCTGAAGGTTCTCGTCATTCTGTTGCTAGTGGAATTTACATAATGTTTCCACAGGTGCTTGCAACTCTTAACTTCTTGGGACTCTTAACTTCTTTGAAGACATATTATATATGTATATTTTCTGTTCATGGAACATTTGCAAAGTTCTTGCAATTATAATTAAGTTGAAGCTCTCAGGTAGCGGCGTAATCCAAACACTGAATACGCTACTTTGAACTTACGTCATGTTAAGTTTGTTTGCAGTGCAATTTTGCTGATATGAGCGCACAGTAATGTCCAAAACTTCCCTTATGCAAAGCTTTGTAACAGAAACGGTTCTAGATTGATATATCTGCGCCCAGTTAGTATTAATTGCACAAACAAACCATCATGACAGGCCTAGCTAAATCCGGTTAGTTTGCGATTCCATCAGATGTGCCACAAGGAAGTCATCTAGATCCATTGATATTATATTTCAATGACCTATGTGGTAGTCTGTGCCCTAAGAAGACATTGTATGCGGATGACCTGAAAATTTCCAGAGCGATACAATAAATTGTGGACTGCTACGCACTTCAAGCTGATTTCGAGCGACTATCTATCTGGTGCCAGGTAAATAGAATGCATACTAATGTTTATTTATTTGTCGTCAATCAGTGTAGACTGTTTTGCAATTGTTGTCTTAAGTGCTATTTTTACAATTTTGTCTTTGTTTATATTTTTTATAATATGTCTTGAAAACAAGTTAAAAAAAAATTACTTCTAGCTAGTTATGCGAGGAATTAAAATATTGCTTTAATTTGGTTTTTGTCATTGTAAAGTCAATGTTATCGCAGTGCTTATTATATTTGTCCATCATTTGGTTCAAGGGTCCAAATTTGGCATAATTCGTACGATGACGATTTGCAGCAAATATATTTCTGTTTCGTAAATGCCTAGATGGTGTATATATATTTAAGGATCTTACATATGCAATGTACAATGTTTTTTATCGTATACGGATCGTGAAAGTTATAACAGAAACGTTTTATGAAACCAAGCATGTTCCCTAATAAAAATTGTATGGTTAATTTGCTTAACGCCGTGTTCTGGGTATCATCCAAACCATTTGTGGAATAGTTCAATGATTTGGGTTATCGTTCGTTTATGGTTATTTTTTATTAGGGTTGTTAGCTCTGTTAATAATCGTGTTATAATGATCTGTGAAAGTATGTTTTGAGTTCAAAATAATACCTAGATCCCTGACTCTATCACACTTTTCCTAAAGTGATTGTTACACAGCAAAAAATTAATTTTAATATCACATCAAAGTTGATGCACTTCAATCGTGTCGAAAATAGGGTGTAATATTACTTGCCAAAAAAATAAACAAATGCAGTGAAAGCAGCGTAATGTCAGCTCATGCACTGTATTAATGATAATTTTGTCCTTTTTGGCAAGTAATATTACTCCATATATTTGACACGATTGAAGTGCATCCACATTGATGTGATATTAAAATTATTGTTTTGCTGTGTATATCAGGTAGGATTCGTTTTCTACTAATGGTAATTGAGTTACATTTTTTATATTTAATTGTAGCAGGCTTTTTTGACACCAAGTATGGAATATCTGTATTTCCTTTTTGAATGTGATGATGTCTTTGACATCTTTTATTTCAAAAAAAAAGTTTAATGTCGTCAGCATAGATTAAAACTTTCAATTTTTTAATAATGTAGCATATGTCATTGACGAAGAGAATAAATAAAGGCGGACCTAAATGGGAGCCTTGAGGAACTCCTGAAGTGACATCAACGGGATTTTATGTTTTTCCTTTGTATTTTACTATTTGTTGGCGGTCAGTTAAATATGATTCAAGCCACTTGAGGAGTGCGTAATGAATTCCCATTTTTTTAAGTTTAAAAAGAAGCATAGGTATGTCAATTCGATCAAACGCTTTGCTGAAATCTGTATACAACACTTCTACATGGTTTCCGTTATCCGTTGCATTCAAAGAATAATTAATTAATTCGAGCAAATTCGTAGTTTTTTTTTTGTTTTTTTTTTATATCTTTATTAAGGAGACTTTCAGCCCGGGGTTGGTTCGTCTCCGCCCGAAATTCGTAGTTGTTGAACGGCCTTTAAAGAAGCCATGTTGCATAGTAGTTATTCTGTTTTTAATTTGAAGAAAGATTTTTTTCATTTATAATCGTCTCGAAAAGTTTCGGAATACAAGAGATCATAGCTATACCACGATAATTACGTATGTCAGATTTTTTTTTTTTTTTTCAAAGATAGGCACTAAAACGAGTTTTTTCCATATTTTAGGGAAGTTTCCAGATTCCAGTGACATATTGAAAGTCCAAATTAATATAGCAGTAAGTTCAGTTGCTAAAGTTTTCATAAAAACTGGCGGTACACCATCTGGACCAGGTCCTTTAGATGCATCTAAATTGTTTAAACCCTTTAAGATATCATGAACCTTGATTTGACTTACGCTGATGTCACTTGAAAATTCTGGATAAGATTCTAAATATCCACGGTCACGGTCCTCTTCTGAAAACGTAGCATAGATTTCTTGGAAGAAATTTGCAAACAAATTGCATATATCATCCGATTTCACACCTGCCTCCAAATGCATCTTTGATGGAAAATTATCAGATTTTAACTTGGTTTTCACATAATTGAAGAAGTTCCTAGGACAAGATTTTATTTCAAGTTCAGTTTTTAAATTATACTCTTCAAATGCCATATGTGTCCGCATCCTTGAGAAGTGTAAAGTCATAACTTTTACGCGTGTACGACCCAATTGTGTACGACTACATGCTGCTCTCGCCATTGTAAAGAGTCAGTTCAATCATGAGTCATTCTAAACAGCAAGTTGCGTTTCCGTGAGGACATCTCGATGACAGTCGTCAAAGCGTATGCAGTGCTTTTATTCTTACGCTCTAATGTCACTGTTTTGCTCACTAGTTCGTAGTGTCATTGAATAGGCCGTACACGTTTGGGCCCCGTTTCACGCTGTTCATGTATAATGAATTAAACGACTATCGCTTTTGTCTTAACCTGGGCCCAGCTCAGATTCCTGTCTTGTCCTTTATTTCCTTGTTGAGGATCCGCCGCCTTTAGCTCATGGGTTTGCCTCTGCTGCGATGTCCTGCTGGGTTCCAATTTAGCGCTTTCTGTTGTGATGCCACCAGGCACGAATTATATACCATAGGCATTAGACTGATGAAAAAATTGAAATTTTCGCTCCACAGTCCTCAAAGGTTACAAATTGGGTTGGCCTCCCAAAAGTTGAACTATTTTAGTGAAAAACTGACTTGGCACAAACCATTTCATGTTTATATAGGAATTACTAAGGGAAAACTTATGTTTTTATTGATATCTATCTAACAATTTTCCACATAAAAAATGCGGTGCTTTTAGAAAATTTTCTCAGCAAATCACTTTTCAAATGTAAGGAACAAAAGTTATTAATGATTCAAGTCACTGATTTCTTATGATTATGCTCATTCAACTGTTCAGCAGTCAACATATTGGTGTTTCTGGCGCGTAGAATAAGAGCACAAAAATCATGGCTACTATGGCTGAAAAAACCAGTGTTCACTCGGCTGTCGACAAAAGCAGACCACTCTCGATGTGTGCTACGCGATCGTCTGTTTTCTCGGCAGCAACCATTGTGTGGTCCTCCTCATTGTTCTTCATCAGCAGTTCTTTCGGTCGATGCGTCGTCGACTTTGGAAAGCAACCGTTTCGCGATGAGTGTGTGAGTGCTGACCACGTTTTGCGTCCATTGCTGCAATGGACGCGCTCTGACCCTCGTTGGCGTACAACAATTTGCCATACAATGCAACTACTGGAATCGGCTCCAGTTCTGATGGAGGAGGCTTTTTGGATAGCGGAAGATAAAGTGTTTATTGTGTTGTACCTTTTGACTATATTTTTAAGATGTATTGCATAGTGACCAATAATCCTCGGCTCTGTAAAGTTAATTCGGTTGAGCCTTATCAAATAAATTAATAAACAACTATGGCTGAAAAAACGATATTCCGCAAAGTTGTAGCTTAGAACATTTTCCATAAGAATAGTTATAAAACTTTTCAACAGTGCAACACAGCAAAAAAAAATGTATTATCGATCAATGTAATTCAAGCTGATGTATGAAATAATGATGTGATAGCAAAAAGCAGATACAATATTACATCAATGGATGTAATTTTGTTCGCAAAATCGATGTACATCGTACAACGTTATATTACACAACCGATGGATTGACCTGGTTGCAGCAGTTTGGATGTAATATTCAACAACTTTTTTTTCTGTGAATATGGAAAATGGTTAGAAGCTAATGAACAAAAAGTTTGGTTTTCCCATAGTAATTTACATATAAAGTTCCAATGGTTTGTGCCAAAACCGTTTCTTACCAAATGAGTTTAAATATTAGGAGGCTAATCAGAAACTGATTTGGAACCGTTTGAGCACTGTGGAGCGAAAATTGCAAAGTCATGCATCTTTGAGTGTTCTCCGCTGATACACACTACGTCTTGTTGGTGTATAGAGATTAGTGACGTTTAACGCACGTACACGCCGTGTAAAGTTATTTTTAGTTTCCTCTGGCTAACCTAAAAAATGTATGAAATTAGATCTGCCAAAATATATTTGACACCGACTTGTTATGTATTTTCCTCTGATTTTCACTAACACGCTCTTATATATCGCACGAATACAACCGGACGTAAAAATAGGGTAGGAGTGTATAAAACGCTACCGGGGCAAAATGCCCTCTTAGCATTTCTTCAAATCCAAGATTAATATAAATGCAAAACATGATGCATATTTAAACAGTGTGGTATGAAACATCTAATATTAACGCTTTGGGCATGACACACCTTTGACGTAGGGGCATATTATATGATAGATGGGGCATTTTACCCTGCGTAGTTGAAGAACCTAAGATTTGGGCGTTGTCGAAAAATGTTTCCTAACTTTTTTCTGTTGTTTGGTTCCGGGTTTTACATATTTTTAGGGTAGATAGGGCTCCTAAAGTTATGAAGAAATCCCCATGAAACATAGGGTCGGAAATGACTGCTAAGTGAGTTATTCAACATTTTATGTTTTTTTTTGTATTTCCAACTTTGGTTAGCTATATTTTTTTAATCTTAATGTGGTTTTCTGATTTCAACATACCAAATGAAAGATTAAAGTCTTAGCTATCGATGCTCTTTAGAAAATAACTCGATTAAAGTTAATTATCATACATTAAAATTGAAAAGTATGTTGAAAGTACCAAAAAAACTGGTGAAATTTCATACATTTTAGTGTTTTTAAGTTGAAAATTTTCATTTCTGTTTATTTAATTGTTCTACAAAACATTCTCCATGCAGTTCCCTAGATGTGTGCCTTTGGTAGTAACCTTGTAGGCTTTATGGTTTCTTCGTAATTATTGATTTAAAACAGCCATAGAAACTTGTGACCTTTTCTTAAAATGCGCTATGGTCACCCTATTCGTTCGTACGTTCGGCTGTTGCAGTGGACTACGCACATGAAAGTTTGGTAGAATGTTATTGTAAATGTTGAGCTACATTCTTAACTTTCGATTACCGCACATCTCTGCGCCGAAAGAAAACATAACTGCGGAGATGTTTCGCGGTATCGAATATTGCTCAATCTCAGCAGAAAACACAACGAGAGACACCGAATCGGCGAATTCTTAGAGCGGATGTCGATTTCCCGTTCACAAATCAGCTTCCTACATATCTGCTTAATAGCGACGATGGACGGTGCTTATCGTGAGGAATGGCACGTCTCCCTTATCCACTGTGGCAATGAAGCCATTATTCATGCTGACCTGGTTCTCCATTATTGCTTATTCATCGTTGGTTCGATCTTCTGGTTTTTCCTGACTTTTCCAAAAGCTTCTCCAAATTCCCTCAATTTCAAAATTGTGTTTCCTACACAGTTGCGTAAAAAGTCCGCTTATAGTTCTACTCAATTATTATATTAGTTGTTCCCATTTTTGTTAAATTATATTAAATACTTACACGATATTTAATTATTTCAACTTCCAGCTCTTGGGGCGTTATGTGACGAAAGTGGTATTAGACCACATTGGCTGCTATGGCTAACAATCGCTCTGGCAGTCTTGTTCCTGATTATGCTGTTGATGAATATTTTCCTGTGTACAGCTATGAGCTGCAGTTGTGCTAGGACTGAGGTAACATTATTTCTGGATATGTTATAATTTCGAGTATTATCGTTGAAAATCTCAATCTTTTACAAACAGATCATCGAGAAGGAACCATCTATAATAGAAGAATATGACCCATATCGAAGTTGGCATGGTTCACAGTATGGCTCGCGCTATTCACTGCACGGTCGTGATGGTGGTCACAACAAGGGCTACACCAGCGGGGGTAGCACGATACACTCAAATCGATCCCTTCCCATAGATTCCGATCATTATGCGATAGTGCACAGCCGCCCGGGATCCAGGCACTCCGGACTGCATGGTCACCGTCCTCGAGGACCACCGAGCAATATGTAAATCATCAACATCCTTCCACTACTTTTCGTCGTAATGGGTACTTCCCAAGCACTGCCTACACACATCGTCCATGCAGGCAACAAAAGGATAAAAATAAAATCAAAACATCGCACTGACCATTTAACCCCTTCCTTCCCTGCGAGTTTTAGCATAACTCACTTCCAAAATCGATATCCGCGGAGTGTACTTAGATATTGACCTAGAAGTTCATCCCAACCGTTGAAGAAGTATTGTAGACTATGTGACTAATGCTTTATGGAAATCGGCTGGCCGTGGATCACCTGTGCAACCCATGGCAAGGAAAGGGTTAAATCAAACAACATTTCTTCCTCAACAAACGTCTATCACTTACAGCATGTATCGCTCACTTGCCTATCCTGAAACAGAACTTATGAAAACCTTCTATCTCCAAAGCATAGCTTGAGGAAGATGTAAATAATTGGAAATTGTGAAACGTGTCACGTTAATTTTATCACTAGATACTCTTAAAAACCCAACACAAATATGTTTTAACTTTTACTTTTGATAAAAATCAGATCAACAGATTAGAAACGAAAGATTTCAAACGTTATTTTATTTAGCGAAAATAAACTAAACAATGCAAATTCAGTCACATTAGTTAAGGATAATCTTCCGACAATTTCACAATTAAGATCGTAACGCTGACGAACCAGCCCATCTATGCGAAAATAACCAACCCTGGAAGTAAATACCCACTACTTGTTGTAAAAATATCAACCAAGCGTTCATTCAAATTCTTCCTAGCAAATCCCACAGGTTGAAGTGTAATAAAAATTTAACGACCAGTTTAAGTTTAAGATAACGATAACAAAAGCGAAAAATGTAAAATAATGAAAGAAAAGGTGAAAATAAATAGGATTAACATATACCATCGAGATTTATCATACAATAATCTTGTAAATATCACAATGTCAGAGGGATTCTACATAGGGTTGATGAACCAATCAAAAACCGAACAACAGAATCCAGTAAGTAACTGGAATACGAACGTGTAGTCACACACAAAATTCTGGTTTTGTATCACAGATATACCGGATATACCCAAGGTGGCCACTTGTTACTGACGAGCCAGAAGGGCCAGTCTAAAGGTTTCCCTGACTTATGGTCTAGCCACGGAGGTCGTCTGGGAGGGCTACATTTGCTTCTTTTTACTGGCTAGTTCATGCTTGAGGTATCTCACTCTCAGGGTCGACATATATTAAGGGAATAACTATTCAATAGTCCAAACTTTCATTGATTAAGCGGCACACAAATTCAATTTAATTTCTTTTATTTTCTCAAACTTACCGTGGGTTTGGTGTGTAACTTTTGGTTGGTCGTCTGGTTGGGTTCACCCAGGGAACCAGCGTGATTTGCAGTGGATCGGTCTACGGCAAAGGTTACCGTGACTCGCACAGGGAACCAGCGTGAGATGTTATCGTGATGAGCGTCGTCTGCCTAACCTCAAACTAGAGGATTGACATGTATTGCCGAGATTTGGTCCACTGTTAACGATGGGAACTAACCTGGATCGTCGTCGTTCCGAGCGGCAAAATGAGACAAAGCCGAAGCCTCAAACTGTCGATAAACTTCAGGCTACGCGCTGTAAAGACTAACCCGTTCGCTCTGTGGGTGTCTGGGGAAACGGCTACAATGGCAGCTTCGTATACTTTTCCAATAATGGCACGACGCTTTAACTGGTAGCACAGTAGTACTTTAGTTTTGCTCTACAAAGATGGTCTGTTCATTTATGTGTCTACTGTGGAAAGCCTCGATTTGCGCCCAAAACCCAGTAGTTTTCCGTTCTCTTTTTGACGTAAAACTACACTGGTGCGTAAATAAAAAAAAAGTGTCGTGAAATAGTGCTAGGCTTTGAACGCTTATAACTTTGTCATTTATAGATGAAATTGAATTTCAAATACGTCAAACGCTAGAATATTACATTACAAATCTGCTGAAATATATATTTTTCCAATTTTTAATTAAAAAAAAACTTTTAAAAATGATAATTTTATCATTGTTTTATAAAATAAACATTTTTTCCCAAACCCAGCCGTCATAATCGAGTACCTCTTGGTTGCACATCTTTCTGCTTCAACCTGAAAAGATATAAAACAGCGCTGCTATCGTGCCTCTGCTCATTGCCGCTTCGGACGGCGTGGCACTGGGTCCTGCAGCAAGCAGGAGCAAGTCAGTTGTTAAAGGTGGATCACGGCGTGATCACCTTGATAACCAGCGATGGGGTGGAAGTAGACTTGGGTCCCGTTTAACTAAAGGGCTGTTCATTAACTACGCAGGCAGTTTAGAAGGGGTTGGCAATTATTAACGGCCCATACAAATTAAAAAAATATGGACAATGGACACCCTTTAACAACCTGAAAAAGACATGGACTTTAACGATCACTTTTTTTAAGGGAAATAATTGTTAAGCAAACTACAATTAAGTAAAACCCGCCCAGAAAGCTTGAAATTTGAGAACAAATCGCTCGACATTTTGATGTTATTCTGTTGGTGATTTACCATCAACTGACTGTAAAACATATCTGGTACCTCTATACATGTAATTAGATTAACATCCCTAGTCCATCCTTTTTTACAAATTCTGCACAAAAGATACTTTCTGCCCGGCCCCATTCATAAAAAAAATGGCGGAAAATCCTGTCAGGGGTGGGGGACTCAGACAGTATTTTTTGTGCAGAATATGTAAAAAGGAGGGTGAGCAGAAAATCATGGGTTTAATCCCAAGCTCTCCGCCATGACTCTTAAAATTCATGATCACCAAACAAAATGAATATTTTCTTTTGATAGTCGGCTATTGAGAGATTAAATGAACAACAAATAAACAATATATAGGGGAAACAGCTCTATTTTTGCGATGCGTTGGCGACGTTAGAAGCCTATTGTTGTGGTTGGAGGAGTTTTTTAGGTTTTTAACGCTGCTGACGTACCGCAGCAATAGGGCTGTTTCCCAACTTTTGGTTGCTTCGCCAGCTTGAGTTCAACCTCGGAAACTATTTGCATATCAAGCGAAAACCTAGTCGTGTTTTGTCGCGAAGTGTTATGGTTATGAGATGCTCGATGAGGGTGGAGGGATCGTTTTTGCTTACTGAGCTCTCCGTCATGACTCTTAAAATTCATGATCACTAAACAAAATGAATATGTTCTTTCGATAGCCGGCTATCGAGAGATTAAATAAACAACATTGCATCGCCAACTAGAGGTGAATCCTAACCGAATACCCTACCCAACCCTCCAACTCCGTAGCACTTATGAGGGTGTCGCTAAGTCGGTGGCCTCTCGTTAAGTAAGTACTACATCAACATTTCCTTCCCTATCCCTAGTTATGGTAAAGATGGGCGTGGCCGGGAATAGCGACAGTTATGCTTCTGTTACTCTTGTTTAGATTGGAACCAATGTTTACTCCCCAGCATTATTCCTGAAAGTAGTCTAACTGAGAATTTCAGAAGAGACGTGAGTGTCGCTAGTATCCAATCTACGAAGTATATCATATAGCGCTAGAATATGTAAAAAAGGAGGGTCTTCAGATGTATTTTTTGTGCAGAATATGTAAAGAAAGAAGGACGTCGGATGTTAACCTAACTTCATATTGACCGAGTGGGAAGACTTTATCTACGTTGCAGGAAAGATTGTGTTTTGCTGTGGCTAGCTACGTGCGCGCTGAATAGATAGAAAGAAGATTAATGACGATTCTGAAGATTTCCTGCAAAAAATGCAAGTAGATGCAAGTAGATGCGAGAACTGAAAGAAGAGTTTTCGAAGATTGATTCGCTAGTGTGATTTTTTTTTGAGCATCTAGTATTGAGATTTAGATGTGTCGCCCCCCTCGATATTGACAGTGAGCATTCATAAGGGCGTAAACGCGATGATCGATTATTTTCATCGATTTTATTTTTGCATTGCTACAGCTTATCGAAACAATTTTCTAGAATTTGTTCAATGCAGAGTTGTAACAGGGTTGTATGGCTATCAAAAGCAACAGTAAACGCACCGAGAAACGTTAATTCTAGCGAATTATTAACAAAATAAAATCGACGAAGAGAATCGATCATCGCGTTTACGCGCTTATGCATGCTCACTGTCGATATACCGTGCATTATAGAGAAAGAAGCGCGCGTGGAAGTTGAAACGGTAGATGTATCGCTTAGCGGAAGTAAAAAATCACTGAGATTATTTCTAATATCAGGCGTAACATTTGATAACGGCACAAAAGCATTTGTTAACAAACTTTCTAAGGCCCTGTGGTAGATATAATAAGGTATGGGAGAGTATTAAAAATAATATTTTATATTGATGTAATATTAAACATACAATGAACAACTTCCTTAAGAGTAAAGTTTGATTTAATTTTAAGTGATTTATGATAACCGTGCACACTTAGAAAAAATTACCGACTTCGGTAATTCATTTACCGAATTCTCAACAGCTGAACGGTCGGTAATGTGTTCGGTAATCGAGAACATTACCGAAAAATCTGTAAACTGAATCAGCAAAACTAGCTGTCAAATTTACCGAACGATCGGTAACGTTTACCGAAAAAACAAGCTTGATATGTAGTTGATTTTACCGGAGAACTGTAATTTTGGAGTCGATATGGAAAATGAAAATTACTGAAAGATCTGTAATTTAAAAAAAAAAGTTTACCGATTCAAATTTAATTCGCTTTAATATTGTTTCAAGGTGTTTTCTTGGTTTTATCAATTATTTAAATTAAATACATTTTTCCTTAGTCATTATTTGATTTCATTCTTACGGACATGTTTTATGTAAATCGAATAGCTCAAAACTTACACGTAGCTGGCAGTTATTGCAATCCATGCAAAAATTTGGCTCCAGTTGTGGTCTATGTGTTGATGTTGAAAACTGCTCCACCGATGAACAAAAAAAAAAATTTTTGTCTGAAGGATTCAGTGGTACACCGAAAACAGGGAAGCGTTGGATGAAGATCCCAAATGCTGATTTTAGATCGTCACCAACGGGAATAGCAATGGTATCCCAGCATACTGCACATCCATCCGTCACGTCAGGGAAATTTCCTCGCACTACCAATAGTGGAATGCTTCCACTATCCTGCAGAAAATCATCTTCGGGCTAGAACAAAAAATATTAATAAAGCAACTTATTTTTATTATACCATACGTCTCACCTGTATCAGTTCGCGTTTGTCTGTCAACGTTAGCAGTTCAACTCGAGCTGTCTGTGCATTTTTTTTTTCTTCTCTCCTTCGCTTGCTGTGTGCTGGCGTTCCGCCTCGCGGACGAAAGGCGCTTGCTAAACGTTGTCGTCATCGTGTTTGTGTGTTGAGCTGCGTTTTACAGACTGTGCTGGCGAACTAAAGCCATTGTGTCGCGAGTGATTGGTGATGGAAAGTGGCTGCAGTCCATTTTTTCTCTGCTGAGATCCCTCCAATTGGAGTAGCTAGTGTGAGTTTCGGGGTTTTTGAGAGTTTCCGCTGCTGTGTGAG